AATAAAAATAATAAATATATATAAATGTATAATGTTACAAGATTTAAGCTATTTAGTCTAAACATTTGTGTTTTCGTGTTACAATCCGTAGTCATTCTAGAATAAAAAAGGCATAATTTATATTTATTTCCTAATTTTTTTAACGTGGTTAAGAGATAGGTCAAATCGACCAAACCTGTACAGAGATTCATTAGTCAAAATAACATATAAAATATAAAGTTTTTTTACAGAAACATTTGATAACTATCCGGACATTATAAGGATTTCACATATTAAAATTTTTCTGATGCACAAAAGTATTTTTAATCTTAAAATGAAATTTACTTTGCATGTTAGATAGGCAACATGCAAAAAGAAAAAAGGCATGAGAAAAACATTGCTTAACAAACCTTAAGACTTTAATAACGTCTTGTTGTCCCACACCAGGTAAAATGGAACTTACCATCACTTTTGAATTCAAGATGTAGAAATAAAAGGCCACAAAATCTGAAGGTGCAGAAATTTTTAAAACTAAACTCCAAATTTAATCTTTCAACAACAATGGATGTTTTTTGTAGATACTTCCAAAACAAATGCCAATATCAAAAAAGCTCACAATCAAAAAATAAAGATGTCTTTAGACACGAGTACCAAATCAAGAAGTGATGACTGAAGAACTAGCAATAGAGGGAGTCAGCTATGCTAAAAAGCTGTGTCGCACTCCTACTGGTGGAGATTGTCACATGCTGGTTTGAATGCAGTAATACAGCAATATCACATTAAAACACGTGAGTTTAGGTGGGAGCCTCAAAGGCTGGTGGCAAATGAAAAAGGTTTGCATACAGAGGGCAGAAATGAATCAGGAAAGCTGTATGTGTGAGAGGGATTAGGTATCATATCAAAAAACAAGTTTGCTTGTTTTGTGCACATAGTAGCATTGCAACACAACTTCATATATCAAGTATTTTTGTTGTTTTTATTTTTAATTTATTGATATAAATAATTTTTCAAGGGTTATTTTATCACATCAATATTGGAGTTTTCCAATGGTATTGTTACAACTGTTTTCTCAGTCACTAGCAGTCTTCTTCCAATTGCTCTTATGAGCTCAATATATATAGAACAATGCATTTATTTATGTGCTTAATAAATAAGCATGTTGTGTTAATACATAAATCCAGTTAAAAATACAACAGTTTAAAAATGATACACATTCAACTATGAAACTGAATGTGCAAGGCAAACAACAGAACTAAGATGCCAAATCAGCACACAAACATAACTGATGTTATTAGCAATATCAGTGATCTGCTCCAGTGGTTCATTTCTGTATATTATATATTTTTCTAAATTGTTTTTGAAATCATGTAAAAATTAATTCAACACATACATAAAAGCTACAAAGATTTAACATTTATACATAGCAATAATATCTTTAATAATAAGTGCCAATGTAAAGATCAGCAAGAATATAGTGACTTTTAACGAGAACACAAATACACACATTTTTCTAGAGTGTCAATTAGTTTTCCAAGCTTATCTGTTGTTTTTAATTCTTGCAAACATACACACTTACTGGTGGCTGTCACTGTTCAAGTATGATCTATTATTACAATAATTCATTTGGTGGCACAAATTATTTTTTTCAATGAAGAGGGTTTATTAGATCTAAACAAGTAGTTGTGA